AACTGCCTCAGTGCTCTGGAGGTGGAGGCAGCACAGCTCCACCAGGCTCAGCCTCGCTGAAGGCTCTGTGCCAGCAGGAGCACGGCACCAGCTGCGGGGTGGGAACTGCCACAGCAGCACGAGGAGCAGGAATTTTGGTTAGAGCAGGCAATACTGCTTCAAACAGGCTGGCAGGACAGCGCCAAGGCAGGTGACATTCTGGGGCAAGGCACTGGGGCACCCTCACACAGCCCTGGCTCAGGCTTCAGGGAGAGGCAGGAGCAGATTTCAGCTTGGAGAAAAGCAAGAGATGAAAATTTCAGCGACTGTGGCTCCATCCAAGGGACACCTGCTGACTTCCAAAATCAACTGCTTTCCTGCCAAAAGCCAATGCAAATCACCAGATGTCCATTCAGCGACCATTTGGGTTTGTAAAGTGTCTAATAGACATTATTGTCTAAGTGCCTCCTTACCCGTTGTGTTTCTCCTGCACATAAAAGTACAACAGATAAGCAAGATCAAGTGATTTCCAGTCTGAGATGAACACTGGAAACACAGCAGGACGTGGCCTCAAAAAAAGAGCTATGTGCCAGTTTTCAAGGCAGATTTGGAAAGAATCTGAGAAAAACAAACAAACAAACAAAACATACTAAACAAAGAGCTGTGAGTGCTCATGCCCACTAGTTTATCAAGACGGCCAGTTTTGGGAGAAATGCCCCTGCTTCTTGAGATATAAAAGAGATTTAAGAGAAAAAGATGTCAATCCCAGACAAAGGCACATTAGGTAGGAGTTCTGCAGGGTGCAGGATGAAAACTGAGCTGATAAAGGACTGGCAGGTGCCAGGACAGGCTCACAAACCCTATTCTGCAGAATAAGCCAGGCACAGAGCAGGTCCTGTCACCCCCCAGGATTGGAGCTTCTGGAGTGCAAAATAGCTTCCCAAACAGGCACGAGATGGATGATACAGGCTCAGAGGACAGAGATGAGTCAGAAGGCAGTGACGATCTGCTGAGTTTGGAGAGCTTTCAGAACACAAACCTGGTGCACAGGAGGCATTTAGGGACTTCTGCAAATCCTTCCTAAGGCATTGGAGTAAACATTTTAATATTATACTAATACTTTGGGATCAGGCATGAATTAAACCTTGGACAGCAATGGGGAAAGGTCATGCTGCAACTGGAAAACCAGCTGCAAGGATCTGGAGGTGCCCCAGGCAGAATTAAATGTAAGATTTGGGACATAAATGCTACAGCCATTGCTCCCCGTACATCCATGTGTTCTTGTGTGGCCCCAGTGCCACTGCCAGAGCAGGTGCAAAAGAAAGGAAGAAAAAAATAATAATTATATTAAAAAAAAATCACCATAAACAAAACCCCTTTGTGTGCTGGTTATGTAAAACTTTATTCTTCTTTTCCCAAATTCTCTTTTTCCTTCCCCCCTGCCCTGCAGCAGACAGGAATTGTTGGCACTTGTGTGGTTTCCTCTGCATGTCCCCAGCGATGAGGCGGTCTCGCTGCCAGGTTTCTTGTCTGTACCCCTCTCGGTGAGGAGTGGGACACCAGGCAGGAGCTGGGGAGCTACGAGGAGAGCAGCTTTGCTGGGACCAATGACAATGACAGCCCCATTGCTGACCCATGCCTGATGCCATCTCAGCACAAAACCTGTTACATCCCGGCTAGGAAATGGTTTATATCTGGCCTCACCACCCCTTGTCTGCACCATTGGTCACTTCCCAGCTGCTCTCTCCCTCCTCTCTTTCTTGGTTTTGTTTCTCTCCTGCCCCAGGGACACAGCAAGCTGCCAGGATGGGGACACCAGCAGTGCAAACATGAGCCCCCATTGCAGCAGGTGGAGATGGGCTGCCCGGTGCAGGGCAGGGCAGGTTTGTCTAAGCACGTGGAGTTACAGTTAGTGACTCTTGGCTCTTGCTCAGGCTCCTGGCATCAGCCTCGAACACACCTCCCAGCACGCATATTTATGATCCCAATTAACACCAAACAAAAACCCGGCTTGCTCTGAAAATGAATGATTTTTAATCTAAATTGCCCGTTTTACATACTTCGCCCACCTCTGCTTAGCAGAACAGCTGGTGTTTACCAGCCTCTCGTTACTCTCCCAAGCAGGAAGATGCAGGACCAGCCGTCCCTGAGATAAGGTGAGCTCTGCCCCCGACGCTTTGCTCCTCCGCATCCTCAACAAGCCCCAGGGGAAGCAGAGTCCTGGAAGCCAGCACCACCCCTCTGCCAAAATATAAGGTTGATGGGGATGGGTAAATGATGTAAGATCCATAGACAGCATCTCTGGCTGCAAAACCTGGGCACAGAAGAGCTCTGCACAGCCCTGGTGTGCTCCTAGCAGGGTTGGCGGCTGTGCTGTGGTTGGTTATTTTGGTTAAGGGATCCCCAGGCACAGGTCTTCAGGATGGCTCCTACCCAGTCCCTGGATCCATGCAGCACATCCTGAAATTCAAACATCTCACCCAAGAAGCAAGCACCGTCCCTGCCCCACCGCAGGGCTTTGACAGCACTCAGTGAGGGTTTCTGCCCCTCAGCTAACCCACAGGCAGGGTGTGGGATGAGGCTGCGTGGTGCAGCTGGAATACGAAGGTCTGTCCAGCACGGACCAGGAAGATTTGCAGCACCGTACAATGAAAGATGTCAGCTCATAGCAATTATTACTGCTGGGTGTTGTGTTTCTGCAGGAAAGAGTAGTTTCTGTGCAAACCCAAATAAATCCAGCTATCTCGACACTTCTGTCCGTATCTATACGTGCAGTTATCAGCGCTTCCTTTTTTATAATGCCCTGGAGGCTAACACCAGAGCTAAGATGATCCAGGAATTATTCTCGTCGTAGTACTTCCACTATCCAAGAATGAACATATGTTAAAGAAATCCAGTCCTTCTTTACTCCAGGCCTTAATTTCCCCTCGGGGCATTGGCCAAAAATGGGGTCAGGGTGCCAGCTCCATCTCTTTACGCAGGCTTGCATCAGAGCTGGTCATGCTGGTGCCCAGAGGATCACACCGGCGGAAGATCAGAGCCAGGGGATGGCCCCAGGCACGTACAAGCTCTGGCACCAAAGCAAGGAGGTTCCTCCAGCAGCACCCTTCGCCCTCTGAACGTGCTGGAAGGGAAGGTGCAGCTTTCTGTGGCCATGGGGAGGTGCATGCTGCCACACGTGGGGCCACTGGTGCTATTTCCAGCTCTGCTGGCCAGGGACTGGAGGCAGGAAAAGTGCCGGGACTGGGCACGGAGCAGGCAGTCACATGCAGCTCAGAAATGAGTCACAAGCCACAGCACGGCGACAACACCTGGGATACGAGGAGACCTGATCCATCCATTCCCTTTCCCCTATTTTTTCCTCTGCTCGGAGTGGCATTCGCACTGGTGAAGTGGGCTGGGCACTGGTGGCAGGGCCTGTAGGATAAATATCTCCTGTCTCGCTACCGTCCTTCTCTTCTGACCTCCTCGTTGGTAAAGCAATGCCACAGCTCTGCACCCTGTAGCACTTTGGGGTGCACACCTCCTGCGTGGTCTCTGTGCCTCCTACACACACAGGACAGCTCCATGGTGAGCCCAAGAGGCAGACAGCTCCCAGCCCCATGCCCAAGGAATGATGGATGGAAAGGTGGAAGGTGATAACCCCCAGCCAGGCTGCCCAGGGGCTTGTGCCATCACCCAGGGACCTCCTCTGGCACGAAGACCCCAAAAGACCTTATTTTCCTTGCCCGGAAAGAATGGGACAAGGAGAAATCTCCTCCCTAGCTGCAGGAATGCTGGGTCCTCACCCACCCTTGGGCACAGGCACAGGGGCTGGCACGCACCAAGTTTCACTTTATTTCCAAGTGTTATCATGATGTTTAATCAGCCCTGGCCACCCTGACCTCTCATCCTGATAGGAAAACAGCCCGGCTTTGTCAGAGAGGGCTGGTGGATGAGAGGGAAAAGGATGTTTTATGGGATGTTCTCAAGGAGTGAGCCTCCTCATTTTTATTTTTTTTCCCCCAGGCAGCACAAAGTCATTTGCTGTGATTTAGAAAACACATGTCTGGTTAAAAACTACGGGCCAGACCTACAGTCCTGCAGATCAGGATGTCTCAGCTGATTTAGACCAGCTGAAACTCTGACTCGCTGTGTTTAAACAAAGCCCATTTTTTTCTCACTGGTGCTAGGCGGAAAGGCCTCAGGTTTTGGCTCTGTTAGGGATATTTTAGGGAGAATGCTCTCTGCATGATTCATCCTCCACGGGGCTTCGCTTTGACAAGAACCACAAGAGCCACTGGCCACCCATGTGGGTCTGCAGGGATGCTGGGTCTGCACCCACCTGGGTGCTGGGCCTCATGGTGGCCCCAGGTGTCGTTTTGGGGCCTCCAAGGACAGAGTTGAGGATGGGATGTGCGCACAGAAGGGCTGGTGCAGCTGCACAGATCCTGGCCTCTGTTGGGAGGGCACACGGCACCTGAGCTGAGCACAGAGCGGGCTGCCCATAGGGCGAGCCAGAGGATTTTCCTGGACCGGTTCCCCCAAAAGCTCGCTGGATGTCAAACGGGACAGCGATTTGCCTCCTCCCAACACAGGGCTGAGGTTGCCCCGATGGCATCGCAGGAATGCTTGGTAAACAAGCATTAAACTATTCGCTGCCCTGGTGATGGATGGCTCACAGGGGACAGAAGGGGAAAACGAAGTGGGCACTTGCAGCGGGGGCGAGGAGACCCACGCTGCGCGTTTGGCACTTCCAAGGGGCGCAGCATGGAAGGGAGACGAAGGGACTTGCAGCAGGGTCTCCCCGTGGAGCCCCAGCTGGCTGGCACAGCCTTTCGAGCCCGGGGGAGCGCTCCCCCCTGGCTCAGCACCCGCAGCAGGGCTGGGGCCGAGCGGGACGAGGAGCGGCTCCGCCGCCCGCAACCGCGGGGCTCTGGTGCGCCCTGGCGGTGAGCGGGGCTGCAGCTCGGTGCCCAACAGGACCCGGCTCCTGCGGAGCTGTGGGGTCACGGAGCAGAGCACACAGCACAGAGAACAGGTAGGAATAAATAGAGTTGCTATTCGAGTTAAAACACGCTCGGGTCGGAGGTGTCCCATCGCCGGTTGAGCTGTCCGGTGGGGTCCGGGTGGGGATGGGTGACACCCTGTCCCCATCCCTGTCCATGTTCCTGTCCTCATCCCCATCCCGCACAGCCACACTCCTGGAGTGCTGCCTGCCTCTCTCCCCATTGCACTGTGCTCCAGCACCTGCTCCTGGGCCCCATCCTGCCTCGCTCTGCCAGCAGTGCCATGGCACACAGCGCCACTCCCAAGAAATGAGGGTCCCAGGTCCCTTGTCTGCTGGGGACATGGAGATAAATCGCTGTCAGGAGGCCGGACCCCTCCTGGGATGCTGCTTCTGGAGAGCACGTGGACCCGTACGAGGCAAGAAGCTGTCTGCAGGCACGTCCCCATGGCGATGGATGGGTCAGACGACGTGGCCGCCTTCGCTCAGCCACCGGGCCCGGTACGTGGCACAGCCCGGCGTGCCCACGGGCCCCAGCGTGACCCTGGGGATGTCAGCCAGCTTGGCGTGAATGCGGCCTTGTAGCTCCTGGTCTCCCAGCTCGGTCGCCGCAGCAAGGGCCAGAAGGAAGTAGGCTGCTGCATCCTGTTCGTCCTAAGCATAAAGAGCAGGGCAATTAGGAAGTAATGCAAGGCCACGGGGTGTGAGGGTGCTGGAGCAGAGCCCAGCGGTTCCAGGCAGAACCCAGTGACACCTGAATTCAGTGAAATGGGCTCTGTACAGTCACTAAGTGCTAGCACTTCTTTCCAAACTGCCTGTCCCATGTCAAAACCTGGCTGTGCCAGCACTGTGTGTGCTTATTGTAAAGCTGCAGCCAGGACAGAGAGCCACAGGATGCTGCTGTATATAACCATTGCTGCTTTGCCAGCAGATGGGATACTCCACCTCCAGCGCCCCATGAAGACCCAAGAACACAACACAGCATCATAGCAAGTGTCCTCCTACCTTCAGTTTGTGCAGCGTGAGGTTGCCAAGGTGGCAATACACCTTGGAGTAGTACAGGGCCTCTCCAGAGCACTGCAGCACAGGGGAGCGCAGGGCGAGAGTCTTCAGGTAGCAGTCTTCTGCCATCTCATACATCTGCAGAAAATAGTAGGCTGTAGCCAGGCGGTGGAATGCAATCAGCTCTTGCAATTGATCTCCTGGAAAAAAGTTGCTGATACAGTCAGACTGCAGGGCACTCACACACAGTTCCTAGCCCAGCACACCGAGCCGCTCAGGGATGTGTTTGCTCCACAGCCCCAGGGCACAGATATCTGTCTGCATAAGGAGGCACTGCCTTTGAAGATGGTCCAGAGAAAACAGAGCTATCAGGGGTGCTGATACCAAAGTGGGATAGATTGCCAGTCTATATATAGCATATATATATTGCCATATATACCATGTATCATTCAACCAGGGGATTTCTTGGGGGCTGGAGAGGGTTATTACAAGGCTGGTTCCGTCTCAGGCATTTATTTTGCTCATTAATCCTACTTCTGCAATGGAAAGGGGTAGGTTTATCGGAAGAGCCAGGGCAAAGAGGAACTGTTCAGTCCCATGCCCTCATAAGATTTCCTGTACTCTGGTGTAGCAACAGCCCTCTGCTCAGCCAGCCCCACCGCCACCACAGCAGAGCACCCCTGTGGGCAGCTTAAAAAGGGAAGCAGCCTTTAAAGAGATGTAACCCCTGGGATAAGAATTGGTCCAGAGGTCTTATGAAAGCAGGAGCATCTCCCTTTCACGTGCACAGTGCTGTCACGCAGACAGCACCCCCTCTGCCCTGCTCCCCGGGGGTGTGCATCACTCACCCACCCTGATGCTCAGCCGGGCTGCCAGCGTGGCAAACTCCAGCGCCTTCTCGTAGCCTTGCAGCCCAATCTGCAGCTCTGCCAGCTTGTTGAACAGCCGTAGCTCTGTCTTAAGGGCCTTTAGCTTCCTGGCCAAGGGCACAGCACCACCCTGGGGAGAGAAAAGAGTGAGTCCAGGCTGTTCCTGGAGGTGTGGGTACAGCACTGCCCGCAGAGGGGTGATGGAGCAGCAGGAGATGGAGTAAGGTGTTACAGATGTGTCCATGCTGCATGTTCCCCCCCAGCCACATTTGTGTGCCAGCACACACAGAACGACCTCGTCCCTTTCCACCCTTCATCCTGCTAGGCACAGCTCCCCGTGGCCATCGTGTAGCAGGGACATAAACAGAGAAACACTTGGAGGGATCAGTACCCTGTAAAACTCCACTGCTCGGTCTCTGTTTCGGCTGCCATTGAAAAAGGTATCGCCTGCTTTTTCATAAAGCTCCATGGCCAAGGAGAAGTTCTCAGACTTCAGAGCTGTCTGAATGGCTGCCTAGAGGGAAGAGGAACTGCAGTGAGACTTGGAAAGAGACATCTGCACAAAGACTTTGGAGTAACAAAATAAAGCCAAGTCACCCTAAACGTGAGCCCCAGTGCTCACACAGCAAGGACACGGGTTGGTAAACAAGCTGGGGGGACATTGTGCTGTGTTTCCTGGTGACGTGTGAGGATGGAGCCACCCACCCATCCCCATGCAGGGTCAGTGTGCCAGACCGACCAGCCAGGACGTCCTTTGGCATCAGGATTTAGAGTGGGAAGGGTGCAGGCAGCAGCTGCCCTGTGCTGGGCTGTCCCTGCGGTGTGATGGAGCCAACGTGAAGATTGACAAGGGGAGCAGAGAGCCAGGACAGGGAAAGGGCAGAGCCAGCAGGAGGGCAGGTATGCTAACTTCTGGGAAGAAGAGATGTCTGTGCCAATTGCACACTTGACCCTGGTGCCACCTTCCAGCAGGAACGTGTTGTTCCTTTCACTGTTACAATCGATCATTGCCAATGACCGTGCCTGGAAAAGGGCCCCTCAGGGTTGCAGACATGTCCTGCTGAGATCTGTCCTCCACTGGCTCGTCTTAATGGGAAGTCACCCCTCTTTAGACCCTGGAAACCTGCTGAAACCACGAGAAAGGCAATGATGGCTCTTCATTCTGGGCTAGGAAACCAGCTGATGCTAGAGCCACATGTTCGAGGCACCCAGGTCCTTGAGCAGCCTCCCAGTACCAGTAACACAGGTGCCTCTAGCACCTTGATTTGGGGGCAGGCTAGTGTGGCTGATGGAAAGGCTCCTCTCCTTGTCCCCACCACCAGGTGCCTCAGTCAGCCAGCCCCACCAGCTCTGAAATGCTTCTGGGGTCACAAAGTGAGGACGCAGAGCATCCTCTGTGTGTGCTCAGGCTGGTGCTTTGCTGGAGACCCCAGCTCAGTGCAGCACCAGCAGACCCAGCCAGCCTCCTGCTCTGCTTACTTCGGGCATGTGGAAGGCTTCTGCATCTCTAAATAGATGCTCCCTGGAGGATGCAACCCTAAGATTTTATGAGTAGTTCTTCCTCTTTGCAGCCCAGCTGATAGAATAATGTTAGAGATGGAAAGAAGCCAGAAGTCTTCTGCTCCAAGAAATCTCCAAGCACATCCCGGGCACCTGACCCTTACCTATGTGCATTTCGATGGGAACTGATCACCTAGCAGCTCCGGCTCTCTCTGGCACTCCCACATCACTTTCTGACTCCATAAATTCACTTACTTTCACCCCAGAATCCTCCAAACCCAGCAGATGGAAGGAAAGATAGGAAAATTAATAGGAAATTTAAACACGAGTGCTGAGGCAACAGCGCTTCCTTGCAGCAGCAGGTTTCTGCTGCTCATGAGAAAACTCTCCAAGTTTTCCAGCCCCAAATGTCTCCCCCTGAGCCACACAGCCCTGATGGGAATGCAGCTAGCCAGGGTGGGAACGGGGCTGCCCCAGACACCTCCCCCATACCTGGAAGTACATTTCCACCAGCTCATCTTCCTGCATAAGGTAGTAGAGCCTTCCTGCCTGCAGCCAGGCCTCTGCCGCCTTGCCAGTCTCCTCCAGGTCGATGAAGATCCTTAGGCTCTGCTTGGTGCAGTCCAGAGACCTTCTCAAAGCCCTGCAACAGCAACAGGCAGAAAGCCATTACAGAGCAACCACGGGGCACCAGCAACCAGCTGCAGGGCTGCAGCACCTCCCTGTTAGTAGTGCTGTCTTCTCCTCCTGCTGTTGCTGCAGGTTAGAGCCACAGCTCCTAGCCATGTGTACTGGCAAAAGGGCAGGACGTACAGGTATATGTGTGTTTCCTATCTCAGAACAGCCCCCGGGAAGCAGCTCCCCAGTGGCTGCTCCTCATTTTAGCTGATGAAGCAGGTTTGTCCAAGTCACCTGCCAACCCTATTTCCCCCTACACCAAGCACACAAAGGGAGTGCAGGCTGGCAGTGCTTGCACCTTCATCTCCCAAACAGCCTCTGGAACCCAGATCCACATCTCTGCCTGCTGTTTGCCCCTTGGGACATCCGAAAAGAGCTCTGTGGCCACATGTTCAAGGCCTGACAGCCCCTTCCCAAGCCCCACATCACTGGAGGACGAGGGGACGAGCAGCAGGACAAGGTGACAGGCTGAAGGCAGGAGGCACCCGTGGCCAGGGGAGCGCAGGGCAGTGCCCAGGGCATTTCTGCTTGCCTGGTGTCTCGCCTGCTGCTGACTGCGCTCCAGCTGTCCTTCCAGCCCAGGCTGGGGGACGCTTTGTGATCTTAAATAGCACCGCTCACATGACAGGCGTCTGCTTCCTAAATTCCTTCCCTCTGAACTCACTGCGACCCAGCAGGGGAAGGTTAATGTCCCAGTTAATGACAGTCCCTGCCCACTTGTCCTCCTGGGACGTGGGAGCCAGATCTCTGCTCTTGGACACGTTTGCTTTCAAGAACGGAAGAAAGTCTGTGGTCTGCCCAAGTTTTTCTCTCCCCTCCTGCCTAACCTTATGTCATCTGCATGTGTCAAGTGGGAGACTGAAGGGTGAGCTGACAGAGGGTCTTACGTGATTCCCTGGGGAAAATACTCCCGTAGAGATGGGAAGGGCAGACTCAGCGGCTGGAGGCCGAAGCCAGGCTTGTTTCAATAACAGATAAGGAGTCTATTTTTATCGGCGGACGGTGATTAATCACTGAAATAAGCCTCCAAAGGAAGTGATGAATTCCCTGTCACTGGGTCCCCTCTGAAGAGGGCTGCGTGTGTCTCTGGAGAGCCGTGTTTGGCCGTGCCCCAGCTCGCAGCCCGGTGTTTGCCCAGCAGTCACCACGTTCTGGCTGACATTGAGCTGTTCCCCCCGTCACGGCACAGGGACAGCTCACAGCCCTCAGCAGTTCCCCAGCCACCAGCCTGCCAAACAGGAGCTGCCACACACCTTCCCCACCTCTCCCTGGGGACTTTTGCTCCAGACACCTCAGAAAGGCCACTGCTCTGGTGTTGGGCAAGCAGAAACTGCTCTGACAGCATCTACACTCACAGCCCCACTCAGGACTTACTCGGAGGTGTCCAAATCCTGGTAGAGCTGGCTGAGGGTCTGCCAAACATCGCCTTCCATCTCTCTGTCCTGGAGCTGCTGGGCCAGAGACACCCAGTGCTCGTGGTAGGTGATGCAGGCCTGGAGGTTGGGGGACACCTCGCTGTAGAAATGGCAGAGAGCCTCCGTGACGTGGAGCTGACCTGCGTGGTAGAGGGAAGGGAAAGGGACAGCTTTAGGGACCTAACAGGCATTGCACCACGGTGAATTCCTGCCAGCCCAGTGGTACTCACTCCTCACGTTACGCCACTTCAGGGCAAAACCCAGCGCCAGTTCATAGCAGAGTTTGCCATCTTCCACCTTCTGTCTCTTCACCATGGCCTGCGCCAGCCACAGCAGCACCTGCACCGCCTCCAGCTCTGGATCCTGGCAGCCCTGCAGCTCGGCGTAGAGCTGAGCAGACTGCAGCAGGTAGAGCTCAGACAGCTGGCTCGCTCCATGCGAGAGGCTCAGCTGCCCCAGGTTGGCCAGGGCGATGGCCTGGTTCCTCTTGTTGCCAGTCTCCTTGGCCTTGTGCAGAGCCCGGAGGTAGTTCTCCGCAGCCTTCTGCACCCGTCCTTCCCCTTTGAGGGCAATGGCCAGGAGGTTGTGCACGGCCCCCCCCTGCGTCACGCTGTCCGTCCCATGCAGGGACTGCAGGAGCTGCCCCATGATCTCTGCAGCTGGGCCCGGCTGGCTGTTCAGGAGATACGTCCACCCCAGGGAGAGGGAAGACTCAAAGGCCTCCTCCTCGCCCATCAGCCTGCTGAAAGCCACAGCCCTGGTGGCGTGGTGGAGCGCCCCGTGCAGCAGGCCGTGCTGGAGGTGCAGCCGGGACAAGATGGTGCACAGCGTCCTCTGGGTGGGCACGGCACGGCTCTCGCAGGAGAAGCGCAGGGCCTGCTGGAGGTAGGAACAAGCCAGCGCCGGGATGCTGCTCCTCTCCGGTTGGCTTCCCAGGAGCTTGGATGTAGTTTGGAGGATGAAGCCAGCTCTCCAAATGGGCGTTGGTGCCCCCTTGGTGCCGCTGGGAACAAAGAGCCTGGCGGAGGCCAGCGCAATGTTTGGCAAGTATTTCTTGTCGTACAGGTAGCTCAAGATGGGGGTGACATCCAGCGGCACAGCACCAGCGTCTGGGCTGAGTAACGTGGTGGTGAGACACTGGAGATGCTCAGTAAAGGGCAGCACCTCGTCGGTTTTTCCCAGCTGTAGGAAGAGCTTGACAATAAAGAAGCAGACCCGCGCCTCCAGGGGAGCATTGCCCACGGCAATGGCTTCCCTCAGCACGTACACCATGACTTCCAGCTCGTTCTCAGAGCTAAAAGGGCGGCCAGGCAAGCAGACGAGCAAGGTCACCATTTTGCCCAGCAAGGAGGAGAATTTGTTCTTCATGTTCTGTTTCAGGTAGATGGAAGCGAGGTTCACGTGCAAGGCAGCCAGCAGGGGCAGGTCCCCAAAGCCCCTGTCCAGGGTGCTCAGGGCTTCCTCGAAATAGACTCGAGCCTGGGAGAACTTGACCTTTCTGATGCAGAGCTTGCCCAAGAGGAAACAGAGCCTCACATGAGCCCAAATTGCGTGAGTCCTCTTAGCCCAGTTCCTGGACGTTTCAAGGTACAAGACCAGTTCATCTTCATCAGAGAAACCATAAAAAGTGGAGTTGAGAAAGGAAAAACTCATATCGTAGAGGCTTTGAAAACTGGGCACATAACTCTCGTGGTTAAGGAAGGTCAGTATGGGGTCAAAGACATCGGCATCTTCCATGTGTCCAGCATTCAGGTCAATAAAGAACTTGGGATCATCAAAGTCATCCAGCTTGTCCAGGAGAACATCTTCCAACATGGCAGAGGCCAATTCACTCCCGGGGCTAGACTGCTCGGAGGTGCTAGCTGTAGCCAGGCCATTTATTTCCTCCCAGGACTGGAACAGCTGGATATCCTTACCACCATGGAGAACAGCCTCTGGAAGGGGACAGGAAAACCATAGCCGAATGCTTCCCCATGTCAAAATTCACCCTCTGAAATATTTATAAAAGCATCCTCCACACACTCACCTGATGGCACCTTGGGGAACATGGCTGTGGGTTCAAAACCGTCTAGACAAAGAGACAAACAGAAAGAGAAAGCCCAAGGGCTCGGTTAATGCTATCGTGCAGGCAGAGCACACAAACCTAACAGAAACTTCCTGCTGCTTTGCTAAACCCCAGACCTGTATTTGGGAGAGCCCCGGTGATTACAGTTGCAGCAGAGAAGCCTCCTGCAAAATGCAGTCCTTTAGGGTATCTCCAGCCCCGTAGGCCAGGCTGAGCAGAGGGCCTGGCGGCTGTCTTCACCTCGGCAGAGCCCCGAGCAGGAGCTCTCTAGGCATGGCCCAGGGCTGCTCCCTGGGGGGATCAATAGGACTAGGCACAGAAGAGGAGGGGAACTCACCCAGCCGGTACACGGATGTGATGTCTGTGCGTGCCAGCTCGCCCAGGAGGGTGGCAAAGTGCTGCTCGCCCCCATTGCAGGGGATGCGCAGGAGGGGGGATTTTTCCTCTTCGCTCAGAAACACCAAGCCCTTTCCCCTAGGTTGAAGCAGACACAATGGAAAAACAGTTCAGTGTCTCCCCATCCCCTGACAGCACAGCTGTCCTGTGGGATGGAGATGGGTTTTCCCACCCCTCCTCCTCCTCCCACCAGAAAAGCTCTGCTGCAGGTGGATACCAGAGTCTGGACCCCTTCCTCATCGGGGCTCTCAGATCCATCTCCTCCATGGAGAAACTAAGGAGTGCCAGAGGGAGTAAACTATTAGCCTTTTTTTTCTCTCCAGAAGCCCTTTCTGAGGCCAGGACACATCTGATCTCCTCTCTGTGTCTCTGTAGTGTCAGAGAAAAGAGCCTAAGACTCATCTTGAGTGAACATGACCCAGGAATGCCCAACAGATGCTAACAGAGCTAGCTACAGCCTAAGGACCCCATCCTCCCACACATGGTCTTGGAGAAGAAGCCTTTTTGGATGGGTATTGAAATGGAGCTGTCTTTAAGGCAGCAACAAAGACAACTGCTGGATCTTAAGGTGTCACCCTCCTTCCCCAGATAACTCTTGTCCTCATCCACAGCAGGGTGCTCAATTCTGCTCAGAGAGGAGCTGTGCCAGTGGTTGTCCTGCCTTGGCATCCCTCAGCAGGCAAGCAAAGCCAGCCTGGTGGCAGAAGAGCCTGGCCAAGGCTTCTGGACAAACCTCAGACAAATCCTCTATGAAGTCCTTGCAAAGCAAATTACCTGCTCCGGACTCACACATAGCCTTGAACTCATATTTTGTGTCTTTCCCTGCTTTCCACCTGACTTTAAATTCATCTAGATGGTAGCAGTAAACTTACAAGGGTTCACAAGCCATGGCATTTATGCATCGCGTTGGGACAAAGCCGACGTTCCCGCTGCTCAGGGATTTGCCCACAAACCACGGGAGTCCTGGAATGAGGAAGCCGATGATTTCTATGCTGTCTCCCTCGGAGAAACTCAGTTCATCCCATGCTGCTCCTTTATGGTCCTCTGTGGCTGTGCACCTGCCTTTCACTGGGAAACAAAGGCAAACAACTGCATTTTGGTGTGAGGCCCAGTGCAAAAACTTCCTTGCTGGAAAAGACCTGGGCAAAGAGACCGTGATTTCAGCAGGAGCAGCCTGTCTCTGTGTCCCCTGAGCTTTATTGTGCTCTCAGTCTCAGACCCTTATTGTGCTCCTTGGATCACCCTTCTGAGCACCTGCAATTTTAAAGGTCTGCTCTCCACTCAGGAGAGCCTCAAGATGCAACCCCTTGCCATGGAGTGCCATTGTCAGAACAGGAGATGGACCCATTGCATTTTTGGCCAAACCCAGTCTCCAAAAGCCATGCCCCCGATGGGAAGGACGGCCACCTTACACAGGTATCACTCACCGATCGGTTGAGAGGTCACCCCACCAATCTCCTGGGAAATGCCAAAACTCACGGCATAATTCTTCAGGAACCACCTGAAAGGCAAGAGCGAGCCATGCTGGTCCTCCCTGAGCAGTCCTCGGGCCACCACGAGGGACAGTCCCACACAGCAGGACAGAGGCCCCCTAATGACACAGAGGACAGAGAGGGCAGATGATTTTGCCAGCCCTTAAGGAGGATTTCTGTGTGCCTACAAGAAGATCTGTGACTGTCTGTGAGGCTCAGCCAGGTGTCAGGCCCCATTTTGACTGGCATTGGCCAAGACAGGCTGTTTTGTGTCCCAGTTACTGACCTGTAAATCACAAACAGTCCCATGTATGACCTAAGTCAATATTATACAAGAACGATATCAGAACTATGCCCTTGCTCTGTCCCACTACAGGACCTGAACTGGTTCCAGTGGCTGTCTCTACAGTGTTTATTCTCACAAAATTATCTGGCTCTTGCCCAGTGTCAGAGGTAAGAGCAGTTCCTCACTGCTGACTTGGTGTTAGCTGGTGCATCTGGGTCAGGAATTAACTTGGCTTGAGCACCATCCATTGCCCACCTACTTACTGGTAAAACGGGTGAGGAACGGGCTCGAGAGCTGCCACAGGCACCAGCCCTCGTTGCCCCGTCAGCAAGGACACCCCTTCCCACATGGACTCCTCTCCAATGTTCTTCACGTGGATCAGCTCGTTCCTGCGGAGCCGCAGGCCTTCCTCTCCTTCCTCAGGCTGGCAGACACCGGGCACTGCTCTGGAAAAAAAGTTACCTGCAGATAGAAAGAGTCACGGCCAGGTCAATGGCACCAGTGCAGGACAGACCCAGGAGAGGGCCACCCTCGTCCTGGTGTCGCAGCCCCGTCTCACCTTCCTGCAGCAGCAGACCCAGGTAGATGGTGGCCAAGCGATCTTCATCCATGCTAACTCTGATCGCCGTGTCCTCCATCAGAGCACAGTTCAGCCAGTACTCCTGGCCAAAGAGAAGCTGCTCCAAGCAGCTGCCCACATAGCCTACGACAGCAAAGAAGAAAGCAGTGGCAGCACGAACAGTTTTTTTCCAGTGTCTCCTAATCTGCCATCTGCAACCATGCTGTAAGGCAACGATCTCCAATTCTGTCTCCAACCCCAGGTGCAATAGAGGAATTACCCAAAAGGAAACCTCCTGGAACTTTTCCACTGATCCAGACTGTGGTTTCATGAAGCTGTACATGAATACCAAGGTCTCATTAATATTCCTTCCTCTTCAAGGTGTTCTCCCTGTTGCATTACTTTTTTTTGGTGTCACAGAATACCTTCTCCAAAACTCCTTCTCACACCATCCATTTGGATCCCCCACACCTTGAAAACATTACCTAAAGCTAGGTACGTGGAGAACTTCCAGACTTCCTCCAGGGTTTTGAAGGTGAGCAGGAACCGATCTTCCTGTGCTTGTACACACACCAGCCTGGCTGACAGCTCCTGCACGGAGAACAGAAAGCAAGGCTGAAGGAGAGGGATGGGAGCCTGACAGGGGTTCTCCTGGCAGTGTGGCCATAAAAGCAGCCCCCGGGATGAGACCAGGCAGGCATTTATTAGCACACTTGAGACTGAAGCTATGAACTGTCCCAGGTCTTCTGGGCAGCTCTGCAGGGTGCCCTCGGGGGTGAGGGCATGGAAAGCCAGCTGGGAAGGATTGTTCAGGGCATGAATGGGATTTTTCTTTATGAAGCACAACCAGCTCCTCAGCACTCACCCCGGTGCTACCTGCACCATCCCTCCGGCAGCTTACTGCCCCCGATACGAGGCTCCAGACATGAGGATCTACCCCTCACCCATCACCACTTCCTTTCCCACATCATTCCAGCTCCCCTGTATGCAGGACACATCCCAGAGGACCTCCTCCTCCTAGGCCAGGCTTGGTGTCCCCTCACACATCCCACCAGACCAGCATTCCCCCATCAGCTCCCACCTTGAAGAGGGCACGGACCGCTCTGTCATCACTCTCCAGGGCCCACAGCTTCTTCCTGGCGGCTTCCTGCAGCTGGGAATTGAGGCACCGGGAGGAGCGGCTCTCCACGGAGAAGAAGAGCGAAATCTCTTGGAGAGGAAAGGTGCAGGGTTAGGGGGGAAGGAGCCACTGATGGGCAGATCCCATCCTTCCCTCCAGCAACCCGAGGGATGGCAGGGCTTGCTCAGCCACGATGCCTGGCCTCGTACGTGCAGCCACTGGAAATCTGGGCGATGCCAAAGGCAGCCTCTTACCTGGGGGAAAGCTCTCCCCGACGGCCAGCAGCACCGAGGAGGTGTCCGGCAAGCCTTCTGCTGCCTCGGTAGCTGCACCATTTGGCTCTGGTGCCCCAGCCCTACCTACACAGGACACAGAAACACTGCTGTCAGGTTTGGTAGTGGGATCTAGGCTAAGCATGCCACCTGAAAGCAAAGTCCGTGGGCTATACTGCAGATCTGCCTGGGGGACTGCATGCAAAGGGCATCACCCTGAAATCGTACCCAAAGGGGGAAGCAAGACTCATGAATTCTGCCTACACGGTACCCTTGGTGACTGGGTCCTTCCCAGAGCGGAGGTGGCCTGAAGTGAGGGACTTTCTGTGCTTGCTCTGGGGCCAGTGTCACAGAGCAGACACCGGGACAGAGAAGCTTTCCAGAGGAGATCTCAGAGTGAGAGCATTTCTCCAGCACAGGCAAGCCAAGGACTTGCAAAACTCTTTGCTCATCAATTTGCCGGTCAGAATAAGATTTTCTCCCCTGCCTGATCCAATTGGTATTTGAAATCCAAGCTGCATGCTCTCAGCTTCGCACATTGCCAACGATTGCCATAAAGGATTCAGGAGTGGAAACTTTCACTGGTAATTATGCTAATGATGGCTGAGGCACACACAAATCCAGCTTGCTCTTCCACAGCTGTATTGGCTGTGGAGGGATAACAAGGTTAGAAACCCATTTTTGTCAGTAATCAGAGAGGACTCGCACAACTAACATGTACCCAGAGATCTGGAGCTGAACAGTGCAGCAGCTTTCCTACGCTGCTTTTGTGACCATAACTGTTCTCTGTAGGTCTTATTATTCAGCCCACTTTGCTAGCCAGTCCAATAGCTGCGTTATTTGCACACAGAATTATAATCCTTACTTAGAGTTAGCAGCAGAAAAGAATGGCCCAAGGCTGGACAGGCAATAAATGGGGCTTTTCTTCCAAAGAAAAGCCTCTACATTTCTCAACAGCAGAACTGAGCACGCTTAACAAAGGACTTCATCCAGGAACTCCAACCCCTCTGACACACGGGGGGGGAAACGGAGACGGGGAAGCGAAAGGAGCCAGAGGCAGAGTTACAACAGAGCTGCCTGGGCTGGGCAGCACTCGCTTCCCACGTCCCTCCCTTCCTCTGCTCCCCGCACCCTGGCAGTCCCTGCGGGCTCTGCAGGCTGGTGTCCCCTCCCTGGGGACAGTACCTGATGCCATGGTTGTCCCTCGCCACCATGGTCCCCGGCGCTCGGTGGCGGTGCGCTGCAGGCGGTCCCAGCGGGGCAGGAGCAGGGGCGAGCGGGGGCAGCAGGACTCACACTCTTCACCTGGGGAAAAGGGGTAGTAGGGGGAGGCGTTCAGCCCCCCGGAGGGATGCTCCAGGCCCAAGGGGTCTCCTTGTGTCCCATGGGCAGCCGTGGGGAAGGAGGGGGCAGGTGGGGCATCGCTCATGGTGGCACGCCCAGCAGCGTGGCCGAGTGCCCCGGTGTGTCCCCGCAGAGCCGGGCAAAATGGGGACGGAGCTTCCTTGGGTGAGAGAAGGGGGTTTGCTCATGGCTGTGCTCGCTGCTTCAGTGTTTGTTTGCGTTTGGGCCAGCCTCAGAAAGGGAACTGGGAGCTCTTTCAAGAGACCAATTGAAAGTGCTGGTGGAGAGTTGTTCCCATTCGTGCCAGTGACTCATTTACCTCCCTGCTGCTGAAAGATTTTGCAATGCGGGGCAGGAAGCAGCCCCAGCCCGGAGCTGAGAGCAGGTCCCAGGCTCTCCGGCTGTGCTCCTGGCACCCACTGGCCCTGCGGTCCCGGGGGCACACGACCACAGCTGCTGGCCCTGCGCTGCCCCCCTGCTCCAGCACCCAGGGCTCTGTGAGCCCTGCAGTGCTCAGGGTGCTCCTGGGCAGCAGGATGAGGTGACAGGATGCCCAAAAACCCCACGGCATGGGAATAAACCAGCCCCCCGAGCCAGACAGAGCCAGGCTGTAGCCTCCCCATGGACAGCTTACCTGTGCACCCCAGGGACAGGTCCTGGTGCCAAGGGGCCCCCAGGCAGCAGCCCATGTGTCCAGCATCGCCGCCAGCCCCGAGCTGGCGGGCTGCTGCTGTGCTGGTGGAGGGAGCGAGCTGCTCACCGCTGGCCCCACCGCAGCTCGGCCCCGGCCACAATGCACAATGTGCCTTTTGAACGGGCCCTATCTGCCTGTGGGGCGGGGGCCGGGCACATCTCACGCCCGCATCGCTGCCCTGCGGTTGCCCCAGGCTCCGCTCTCGCTCTCGCCCTCGCCTTCGGGTGCCTGTCGCCAGGCCCACGTGGCGCATTCCTCTCATTCCTCCTGCCGGCTGCTGCTGCTGTGACACAGGGAGCGCTTCAAGCTGGCCCCTCCGGAGAGCTGCAGCCCTGAGCCAACCCCACTCCTGATGCCGCTGTGACACCCCCTCACCTGCCGGCACAGCCCGCCGGGGCTCCTCCAGCATCCTCCAGCATCGCTCCAGCCAGCAGCCCCGCTCTCCCCGCTGCACGGCAAGGGCACCACGCCGGCCTCCGAGCTATGGCCAAGCGAGGCACCAGGTTCTGCAGCACAAACAGCCACTTCGTGAGAGGCTAGCAGGGCTCATCTCATCCCTGAGATCTTTGAACTGCAGCCACAAACAGCAGGAGGGAGCGATCTGGTGTCTGCACAGGATCTCCACCAGGGGCTGCCCGGGTGGACTCTCGCACCGTGACCTTCCCCAGCCTCCAGGAGCAGCACCCAGGACCCTCTGGGTGGCCTCAGCGTGGTGGCAGACTTCTTCAGAGCAGCTTTGGGAAGGTCAGCACATCCCCTGTGTGAAGAGAAAAACAACAAAAGGAGGTGCAGGGTGAGAAGTCACAGGCAGGGAGGTTTTTAGGGATGGACCTTCACGCCAGCCGATGCCAGTGCCACACGGCAGTGCCCTGCTTGCTGTGCCATGCTCCAGGAGCACCGCTGGCTCTCCCAGATGTCAAAATGCTGGGGTTGGCTGGGGGAGGGACTGTCCTCCTCCCCCTCCGTGCTGCAGCCCTCAATGTGAGGGCACAAAGCCCTGCTGCTGTTCCCTGGCGTTCTAAAACTGAGCTGATCCTTGCCCTGCAGCCCCGCAAAGCTGCACAGCGGAGGGAACCGGTGCAAAGGTGAGCGGCTGGGACAGGCGCTGCCCCCGGCAAGGACGCTGCCTGCTCCCACTGCACGCAGCCTTGGCAGGCTCCGGATTTAGAAAACTCCCCCGGTGAGCCCAGGGATGCTCTGAAGATCAGGGGACCAGACGGGGAATTCAGATCACAGCCTGGGTTTGTGGGGTGCCACCAGGCCCATCTGTACGGGACAGAAGCTGCTGGTTTGGGCCCACCTTGCCAAAATAGCCAGGGCTGAGGCAGGGCAGTTTGTTTTAGCAACATCTATTTATATATTAACATCAATGCAAGGGGAAAATACTCATTAAAAAAAAAAAAAATCAACAGAAGATTATGTTTCATGTAAAAAAATAATAATTTGTTCTTTTGAAATTTCTGTTTGTTGTCCAGTTTACCCAGATAACTCGATAACCAAACCCATCCCTCTACAACTAAAGGTATCAACCCCCAGTTTGACCTGAAATTTAATTTTCTTTTTGGACAGAAACCCATCCCCCTCCTGTTCCACCCCCCCGTGCCCTCAGCACCACGGGTACCCCTGCAGAGCCCCCATTTCTGCTGCTGCTGATCTCACCCTGGCCTCCTTAGGAGCACCCTGTCCTGCAGAAGTGAGTCCTGGGGTCCCCACCAGCACAGACCCTTCCCAGGGGGGAACAGCCACCACCACCAGCCCCCCAGGGCCTCTGCTCCCTGTGCAGCCCTGGCACAGCCCCCGCTGCTGGCCCCGCTTCCCTCCCCAGGGCACCAAACAGGCAGCAGGGCTGCCTGGGCAACCCTCACCTGGGGACGCAGCCTGGGGACCCCGCTGCTCCCTGGGGCTGTCTCACCCTTTCCCGGCACCAAATTCTCTTTGTTAAACCTAGCTCCTGCTGGTGCAATTTCCCCTTTCACTCTCCCACCGGTTCCCGCACACAAAGGACCCCGGACAGACCTATCCCTCCCCGGTGTGCTCATCACCACCGTATCCAAGCCTCCAACCCCACCAGGACCCAAATCCCAACTCCCTGCCCCGCTCTGGAGGGCAGCCACCATCTGTGCAGCCACCCCCTTGCACCCGGCTGCTCCGAGCACCTGCAAGCACCACTGCCCAGCCCTGTTTGCTCAGCTGGGGCCGGCCAGCATGCGACAGGCACGGGGACACGGCGGTGCAAGTGGCCGTACTGACCTGCTCCTCCACAGCACCCGGCACCGCCGTCCTCCCCGGGGAGCCTCAGCCTCGCTGCTCCCACCTCTCCAAGTCCCCCGGGAGCTGGCGGTGTGCGCAGAGGTGTGGACGTGCCTGCAAGGCGTCCCCAACGCCGCCACTCCCTTGCACGAGGAAAGGAATTTCTTCCCAGAGAGGCTTATCACCTCGGGAACCTCCGCTTCCCAGCAGAGCCTCCGGAGCGGAGGTCAGCGGGGCAACAGGGCGCTGCCTCCCCAGGGGAAGCCTCACCGGGAAACGAGCGCCGGGGAGGCCACCACGTCTGGGCTCCGTCCCTCTCCACGCGTGTCCACCCCGTGCCGTGCCACCACCGGTCCCTCCTGGCTCTCACCTGTCCCCTGCTCGGGCGTCATGTCCTTGAGGCTGGGGACTTCCCGTCCTCGCTGCCCAGGGACAGGCTCAGCAGCCCGGGGAGCAGCTCGGGAACTCGCTGCTTTTCGGACAAACTGCGAGTGCAGACACACAGGATAAGAGATCTGTGGACCCAGCAGTATTTGTGCGCCTGGGCAAACAGTGCTAGCTGAGAAAAATAGTGTTGTTTTTTTTTCTTTTAAAAACAAATAAAGGGTTAATAATCTTATCCAATATTCCTGTTTCCTTCTGGGAGCGCTCAGACGTTGACCGTTCCTTGGCAGGCTCAAAACGAAGCCTCCTCGCTTTTCACTTTGTAATCTAAAAATGAACCTGAAAGCAAAAGGAAACCGGCCTCCACCTGACGGCAGCCAGGGAAAAAGCAAACAAACAAGATGAAACATTTCGTTTCGGGTCAAACAAACTTCTGTTCCGCAGTTTTGATGCTCCGATAGGGCTGGGGAACCTGCTTTGGTGCTGGGCTGGGCAGTGTTTTCCTCCCCTTGTCTGCCGAGAGCCCCCCCTGCCCCAGCAGTGCCCCGGGCAGGAGGGCAGAGTCCGGCTGGCCGTGGCGTTTCCTCATTCCTGTGCTCCCTGTTCCTGCTTTCACCTGCTGCAAACGTGCCCGGAGAGGTGAAAACCCCCTGCCCTGAGCACAGCCTCCTGGCTGCTGGGGGCAGAGAGGCTCCCCAAAATGCGTTGGCCTTGGGGTGGTGCCAGCTGGGGGGAGCTGGGGATGGAGGGCGGTCATGCACAGATGCAGGACACAAGGGAAAAAAATGATTTTGCAGCAAAATCAGCGTGGCAAATTGCTGAGATGCAGGCCTGGCTGTAAGACATTTCTTCTCCCTGGTGGCCCTCACTCAGGAATTTCCTTCCACCTCCAAGACCTCCTTACCTTTCCCACAGTTGCTGCCCCCAGGGGCCCCCTCTGCATCCTGCAGCGAAAGGGTTATGCGGGCGCCGGGGCCGAACCGTGCTGAACTCAGCGCTTCATTTTCAGAAACGCTGAGGCCTGCGCCTCTCCCTGGCTTGCATTGTTCCAGCCAAGGGCAGAGGAAGTAAATAAGTGCTCTTGGAAACCAGCCGGCGGGTCCCAGCCATGCCGCTGGGTCGGGTGGGCTTAGAGCCCCTGCGCCCCAAACCATCGGGGGTGCCCAGCACCCGGGAGCAGCCTGGGCTCGGCTCTGGGGTCTCCTCCCTGCTGCTTGGTTTTGGACCATCTGTTCACCTCCATGCAACCACCTCGGGGGTTTCCAGGTGTGCAGGGACCAGGACTCGGAGCCTTTCTGAGCTCTTTAGCTGCTGCAGCCCTTCTTCACTGCCCCCACTCAGCAGTGACCATGCTCGAGCACCCTGCTTTGGTTGAAAGCAGAGCTCCAGCAGCTCCCACTGCTGCTTCTGGGGCAGCTGCAGGAGGTACGAGCAGATTTTGGACACGGAGCTGTCCGGGTAAAACTCCTTCTGCCTCTAGAAGAGCTTCTTCCACGGTTGCAGGGAGGCAGAGGAGCCCAGGACTCATGTGCTCTGCCAGATGTGAGCCAACAGCTCCTGAACACATCGCGTGCCCTGGAGATGCTCCTCCCAGCCCACACCAGCTCCTGTTGGGTCTCTCCTGCGTGCACCACAACAAGGTTACAGGGTGCTCCCTGCCTGCACAAGGACGCTGCCCCCACGTAAGGGGATATGAGGTGTGCCATGAGCTGCTGGTGTCCCCAGCTCGTCCCACATCCCAGCCCCCCGACTCACCTGCAACATGCTCTCCATCTCACTTTTTTCACCACGAATGCAGCAGAGGAGCCCTTCCCACTGCCCCTCCAACCACCACCACTTCTGGAGCCCTCACTTTCCTTCCCTCCCAACACCTCCTCAGCCCTGCACCGCCGTGAAGCCCAGCCCAGGACTCGGCCCCATGGGGACACACGTGCAGCTGGCAGCCGGCTCCACCTGCAGAAGGTCCCCAGGTGATGCCAGGTCTCTCCTGCCCACCTGGTTTCTCCTGGCTGATGGAAGAGCTGCTGTAAAGGGGTCCCCCAATTCCACCCTTCCTGCTGCCCCATCCGGTCATGGCTTCTCTCCGCGGTCCCTCATCCCTGCTCTCTTCCCATGCTGGAAATATCTCTGCCCTGCACTGACCAGAGCATTAAATGCACTCAACCCTATCAATAATGCAGGAGAATTGATGGCAGGTAGCTTGTAGAAAGCTTCCACCCTCTGAGGGACACCAAAACCCCCTTGGACTTGGCCAGGCAAGGCATGGGATGCGGATAAGTGCCTGCAGCCTGCATCAGGGCGCTGAGCTCCTGCTCTGCTCACCCCTCCGGCCCCGAGTGACCTGGCAGGGATGCTCTCTCTTCCCCTGGTGAGTCGGCTGCCCACCAGCTGCAGGGACACAGGGATGGCACCAGCTGGCCATGCTTATTAATTATCAGAGCCAACAGATGGCAGCAATCACCGCACCATCAGCGGCCCCATCCTTGCACAAAACCATTCGGAGCCAGCCCCCAGCCCTGCTGCCCCAAGCCCCCAGTCCCCAGCAGCTGCATCATGCCCATGGCAGAGCCCAGATTTCTCCACCACGAGCAGGGTGCACGGTGCAGCAGGACCCAGGGAGGCACAAGGCCACCCAGCCCAGTGGCAGGAGTCAGGATGAGTCCCTGCTGCTCCCCAGCCTCACCCCACCGAAGCAGCTGCAGCACCATGGCACGGAGAAGGAGCAAAACCTCATCGAGCAGCCAGTTCCCACAGTATAATTAACATGGGGTGGGGAAAGTACTGCGGGACTGCAGAACGGGGATAGCAAGGAGAAATGGGAGAGGCTCAGAAATGGGGACCGGCATCCTGAGCAGCAGCAAGGCTCGGCAGGGACACGAGTGACACCAGCAAGGAACAGAGGACATCCATGGGCGCCCTTCCCATGAACAAAAGCACCCAGGAACTGCTGGATGCTGACCCACAGGGCACAGCCCCCATGGCACAAACCTCCAGGGGTCTGCAGCAGGGGCTCCTTCGGGTGCTGCAGTGGGGAGAGGTGATTGAAAATCCAAAGGGAAAATTGCTCCAAACATCAACGTTGTTCTCGTTGGTGAGGTTTGCAAAGGAAATGTATTTCATCTGGAGATGTCTCTAGAAAATCAAACTTTCAAAATATTTCATTTTAACTTCTCTGTTTCCCTGCATTTCTACCTTCCAGCCTCTCTTTTCCTCTATTATTCTTCTCTGCTTCTGGTTTTACCCTTTTCATTTTTTGCTGTTTAAACAGAAACGCATTTGACAAGGAGAAAGGAAAGTAACAAAGTGAGCACAATGATCCCCAGATCCCCAATTTTTCATTTCTCAATTTCACCCACAGTAGGAAAATGTTAACAAAAACTTGGTTTGTTCATCTTTAGACTACAAACACTGATAAAATCCCAACCTCCTTCATATTTCTTTCCCTTCCAGGATTCACAATATGAGCTGCGAGGGGCTGAACTGATGTGTCCAACACAGAGAGCACTGAGCAGCAAGTTTGGGGCTTCAGGCTCAAGCTCCATGTGACAACCATGCAGTAAAAGGAAAGTATTCAAAGAAATAGTTCGATAATTTTGGCCAGCTAGTAGTTTTACACTTCCTTGGGAGGAAAAAAAAAAAAAAAACCTGCTTAAGATATTAATTGCTTATGCTGATCTAGATTTTTTTGAAGCTCTTAATGATCTAAGCTGCTTACAAAGATGTTGGTCTTGATGCCATTTGCTTTTAGAAAGAAACAAAGCAGCTCGGCGAGGCTAAGCATCTCGTTTTGATATTTTCAGGGCGCAACATTTCGATTTTTCAACTTGCAAAGCTTTGTTGCTTTAATTTTTTTATTTATTTATTGGTACATAAAGCTGAGGTTGAAATCAGAATGAAAGCTTTCAGTTTAAGCTAATTAATCCAAACACTTTGATACAAATCCCATTGTGTTTTCTCAGTTTTGTTCTCCAGGAATTTATTTGAAGTGCCCGCGTTCCATTTTTAGACTGTGGGGAAGAAAAGAAAAAAGTGAGATTTCCTACAAAAGAGAGAACCCGCCACCTACCTGTGGCTAGCGGTTCTGTGATATTTCTTACTCTTAGAAGTGTAAAAAGAAATGATTTTTCCTAATTACGTGGCTCAGGCTCCTCATGGTGGCTGGCTGCAGCATGGGATGGAGGGTGGGCGATGGGGAAGGGGGAGGAAAATGCTGTGTCCCCAGGCCAGCCTGGTGGGTACAGAGACCCAGCGATCCCCAAGCTGTGCAGGAACTGCTGTGCTTCTCTGTTTCCCTGCAAAACAATATGAGGAACAAAAGGAAAACCAAGCCCTTGTGATAACGCCAAGAAGAAAGCAGCAGCACTTGCCAAGGCTGCATGGCTTTTACTGGGAAGCAGCAGCCGGGGGCTCCCTGGGGAGCATGGCAGGAGTTGTGCCAGCCTGGTGCCACCAGTGCCGTGCCTCTCGTTAGGACTCGTGGTGGGCACGGCTGCTCAGCATCAATGTCCCGGGGTCCTGGTCCAGCGCTGGTGGGAGGGAGGATGGTTCTTCCTCCCGTCAGTCCTCGGTGCTTGAGGGCAGCTTAAAAGGGAAAACTAAAAATAAACACAGCTTCCGATGACCTTTAATGGGTCAAAATGTAGCTGGCAGTGGGAAAGCAGGTCAGGAGCCTCAGGGTCAGAACTGCAGCCGGTAAAGGCTCCCTTCACAGCACTGTGCTGATGCTGCTCATCCAGAGCTGCTGGCAGTGCCTGGCCTCGTGGCTGGGCTTTGTGGGGTCGGGAGCAGGGGCTGCACCAGCACCAGGACCCAGATATGCATGCAGGGGGGAAATGAAGCAGTCCCAAAATACCTGGCCTCAGGCAATATGCCCCAGTATTGCCTGGGAGTCCCAGCCGTGCTGCATGCTACAGCAGTGTGCTCCTTGGGCCTTGGCATGCAGCAGTGGCAGTGGTCAAGAGGGAAAGATCCTTGAAGGTCTTGGCACACCTTGTTTCAGCTGCCCTGAAGCCTTTGCCATCACTCCTCCTTCAGGCAGATCTTGCAGCACCTCTCATGGTGTCCTGGTCTTTCAGGAGGGGAGGTAAAGTCCCAAAAATCCCAACATGCAAAATGAGCTCCAGAGAAGCTGGGAAGTCCTTGCGGTGGTAGCGTCAGCACTGGTGTGCGTCAAGGAGGGTGTGTGTGCATTGTGGGCACTGTCGCAGGATGTGCTAGCGGTGAAGGGGAAGCACACGGCAGGAGAAAGCAGCGCAGTGGGGCAGACGTGTTGGGAAGTGGTGCTGGGCACCAGCCTCCCCCTCCATGGTGACGTGGGCCAAGCTGGAGTCCCCATGGTCCTCCAGCAAGGGGGAGAGCCACTTTTCTGGAGAAGACACGAGCTCCAGCGCTCCTTGGCAGCTAGCTACAGTGCGCCTTGCCTTGGAATTCAGGGTTCTGTTTAAGGGTTAGTTCATGGGGTGCGACAAACTTAGAGTCCTGCCGTGAGCGGGATCGTATTAAGGCTGCGTGTTCAGGTCTCCCAAAAGGCTTCCCTTGGTAGCACTATTTCATGGGAGGCTTAGGTAACTGTAGGCTAAGGTTAAGGTGAGTTTTAGAGGAGGGAAAGGGTTTGGAAGGAGAGAGAGTGCAGAGATCTGTTGGGAGTGTGGTTGTGTAAAGCTTGCCAAGGGAATTTCATGTCTCTGACTGCAGTCTAAGGTTCTTGCCACTCTGCCATTAAGCACGCAGCATTCCAGCTTCAGCACAGCACTTCATGTCCAGCTCAGCAAGGATGAACTCCTGAAAGAGGAGAAGCATTTAAAAAAAAAAAAAAAAAGAAAGAAAAAAAAGGAAAACTAATGAAACGAAGAATTTCTTGTAAATGTGATGGCATCAGCCTGGCAATGCCAGAGCGACGGAATCAGCGCTGCATTCAGGGAGAAGTGCCAAGCTCCAGCTCTCCTTAGCACGTAGTTACAGCTCACTTTGCCTAGGGGGTGAGGGTTTTGTTTAGGCTTAGGTTTTGGGGAGCAATAAAGTTCAGTGTCCAGTTGAGAAGCAGTAAAATAAGAAGAAAACCAATTAAATAGAGAAATGCTTGTAAAAGAGATGGCTCCTTGGCGGTTAGATACCATGAGTTTTGCCTTGGGGTCAGTGTTCTGTTTTGGGGCTTAAGTTTTGGGAACAACAAAGCTCAGAGTCCCATTGTGGGTGGGATTTGATTAAGGCTGCCAGATGCAGTCTCCCAAGACGCTTTTGTTATTTCATGGGCAACTCAGGTAGCTTTAATCTAAGGTTAGGGGGAGTATTAGAGGAGGGAAAGGGTCTGGAAGGAGAGAAATCTCAGAGTCCTGTTGGGGGTGCAGTGGTGTAAGGTTTGCCAAGGGAATTTCAGGTCTCCTGGACTGCAGTCTAAGGTTCTTGCCATTGAAAGCTCCAGTCCCAACTTCGGAGCACCTCATGGCCAGCTCAGAAAGGATGCCCTCCTGAAAAAGAGAACCATTAAAAGAAAAAGAACAAACAATGAAATGGAGAATTACTCATAAAAGCGATGGCATTAGCCTGGCCACGCCACAGCGACAAAAAGCAAAGCACGTGCCAGGTTGCTTGAGCTATGTGCAGCGTGCGCGCCCAAGCCCTGTGAACACTGCTGCTGGGTTCGGGGTTCTGTTTAGGGTTTGGGTTTGGGGTCGTGTTTAAGGGTTGGGTTTGGGGTTGTGTTAAGGGGTTGTGTTTGGGGTTATGTTTAAGGGTTGGGTTTGGGGTTGTGTTTAGGGGTTGTGTTTGGGATTGTGGTTAGGGGTTGGGTTCGGGGTTGTTTAAGGGTTGGATTCGGGGTTGTGTTTAGGGGTTGGATTCAGGGGTGTGTTTAAGGGTTGGGTTCATGGTTCTATTTAAGGGTAGGGTTCAGGGTTGTGTTTAGGGGTTGGGTTCGGGGTTGTGTTTAAGGCTTGGATTCGGAGTTGTGTTTAAGGCTTGGGTTCGGGGTTGTGTTTAAGGCTTGGATTCGGGTTCCGTTTAAGGGTTAGTTCACGGGGAGGGACACAGCCCGGAGCCCTCCTGTGGGCAGCAGGGCTGTGAGGCCCCACTGCGCCTACTGCACTAGAGCAAAACCCCGAACTGCGCGTGCGCAGCGCCCCTCGCCTGTGGTGCCGCTGTTGTGCCGCCAGGCGGCAGCAGAGGGCAAGGCTGCCCGGGGCCTGCAGTACCGGCAGCTGCCAGCAGGTGGCGCCAGAGGGCGCCGCGGAGCTCGCCCTGTGCCCCGCCCGCCGCTCGCTGCGTGGCGGCAAAGCGCCGCCTCCGCGCATGCGCGGTCCGTGAAGGGCAGGGCCCATAATGTTTTTACGTCAGAATTGGTAAAATAAAGTTTTACAAGGGAAACGGGGAGCTATATGTTTGTGTTGTGCAGATGGGGTGATACGTAAATTGGGGGGAAAAAATGGAAAGAAAGGGGTTTAATAGACAGTAAGGGAAAAGGATCGATCCATGAAGAATTAATTAGGCAGATTTGGGAAAAATTATTATTACCTGAAGGGATTGCTGTGGTGTGTATCAAGAGGACATCAAAAAGGAAACTCCCTAGTTCAATGGGGAAACAGAATTATAGGTGAAAAGGCTTAAAAAATGGCTCTGCAATTAGAAGTAGAAATGGAGCTGTTTCTTCTACACGTGTGTAAGCTTCCACCTAAGCAATGAAAAAGAGATAGAAACCTTCAAGGAGCCAGGAACAAAGGAGTCAGAGGGATGGTGGGCTCTCCCTGATGGAAGAGAAATAGTAAATAAACAAATCATGAGGGAAAATTTAGCTGTTCTACGTCAAGGAAGCCACTGGGAAGCCAGGCGAGGTGTGACGCTATTGAGAAATATGTGTATGTAGGAATGGGGTGTGTCATGGGAGCAGGGCAGGACAACAAGCGAGTAAGAAGGCAACCTCTGGAAGCAAGGACTTTGACCCTTTCAGAGCATCCAAGTAGATTTTACTGAATTACATAATGTAGGTAGATGCAAGTACGTGCTAGCATTAATTGACCGTTTGCCAGAATGGGTAGAAGCTTTTCCTTCAGTATCAACAACAGCTGTTGAGGTGATAAAGATAATTCTGGAACAAATTATCCCTATGTATGGGATTGTTGAAAATGTAGACTCAGATCAAGGAAGTCATTTTACTTCATACATTTTGCAAGGATTAATGAGAACTTTGGGAATAAAATGGGAGTTTTGTACTCCATGGTATCCTTCCTCGTCTGGAGAAGAAACACCTGTCAAAATTGGTTTTAGAGACTAAGCTTTCCTGGACAAAATGCTTACCTTTAGCTCTTCTCAGAATTTGAACTGCTTCTAAGAAAGATACAGGAGTTTTGCCATATGAGATGTTTGGACTACCATACCTGGGTGAAAGCAGTGAGATACCTACTCTTGAAACCAAGGGTCTTTTTCTCAAAAACTGTATACTCAGGTTGTCTTCTTCCTTGACGTCTCTCAGGGTTCATAGACTGTTGGCTCAAAGCCCACTGTTGGAATTCCCAGTGCATCATTCCATGTGAAGGATGCTGATACGTACCTGGAGAGAATCAAAACTCTGCCCTGAGCAGGAAGGACCATTCCAAGTACTGCTCAGCCCTGAAACAACCATAAGAGCTGTGGGAAAAGGCTGGACTCACTATACTCAGGTGAAAGCATCTGTCGACCCTAGTACCTGGGAAGTTGTTCCTACAGAAGAGTCATTGAAAGTTAAAATTAAAAAGTAAGTTTCATAGTAGACTCTGTGTGTAATAAAAGCTTATAATTGTAAACCAAATTTTATTTTCACAAGTAACTAATGAATGTGACTTGTGATTGGGAGAAAAGACTGGCCTACACAGAACTGGAGTGCCCCCAAGGGGTTTTAATTCTTGTAGCAGAGTTCATCTTATTCTTAATATTGATAATTATTTGGAAACCTAAGATTTAAAAATAATGTCAGGGAGAGGTCAACTAGTAGTTTTAACTCTGGTCATTTTATGCCTCAGAGGGCCTTGGTCAACTGGAAAAAGGATGACCAAGAAGGGGAGCAACAGGATACCCTGTCAAGATAATGCATGAATGTGACAGAGAAGTGCCTCAAGCTGTCATGTTCAGTGCCTGTCAGGTGCTAGCTTGTGGGGATATAAATGCTCAATCGTAATTGATTGTATTTTTTCCATTATAACCAGGTCATCTTTATGACTGCTCCCATCAACAGCTTGCCCTCAAATCCATATCTGGTCCAGAGCTGAATTTACTGTGCTTAAAGCAGGTTTGGGTGAGTGTGCAAGGTACTCTCCCTGCTACATACTCTCGTGTGTTGTATTTTCCTTTCTTAGGGTGTAGTTCTAGAGCAATGGTCAAAGGAGCTTACCTTACCTTTACCAAAAGAGCTTCCTGGTGCTTACCGTAGCAGCTAGGAGCAATGTCCCTTCCCTCACATAGAATTTACCCACTTTTATGGTGGACCAGCCCGGTCCTCAGACGCTGAGGGTATCCAGACCACCTAGTCTACTCAGCAGCTAGTGCAGCCTGAGGTTCACCAGCTGCTCAAAAACAAAGGCTCAAAGCAGAGAGCACAGTTACACAGAAGAAATAGGATTTAAGAGTATAGGACAGACTACAGTGATGAAACAAAATTCTCTGTTAGTCAAGCATACCTACCTGCCCCTTGTTTACATGCCACTGGCTCCTTTTCTCTTTTTTTCTATCTGTTTTGCCATGTTCATCCCTCCCATATCTGCACTGATCCCACCTTTTCTCCTTCCTATGTCTGTTCCCCTAAACATCCCATATGAAGTTTCATGCAGTCCCTAGGTTCTGCTCTGTTCCATTTCTAAATTCTCCCTCTGCATCCCATAATGTCTTATATCGCTGTAGGCCATAATTACCCTTCATGACATTACCTTTCAGCGAGTCACCTTGGTGGGTTTTGCACCAGGGATGATGCAGGGGTGGATCACCCATGGCACCAGGGACTGCTCTTCCCTGATGATATGAGGATCAGCCTATTTAGTGTGCTCCATTTTCACTGAGTAGGTTACAGGGCTCTCTCTGCCTGCTGTTATTTCTTCTGTTTCCTTTGATTAGCCTTTAGACATGTAACCAAGTGCTTTATCAAGCAAGCGTTTGTTGGGACAGGATTTCTGATCTGGCATCTTCAGACTT